TTATACTAGAAGGTGTATTACTGTTATAAGTAGATAGCATGTAAATGTAAGATAGATGAAAAAAGGTTTTCGTTATTTCTTTTTTAATTTTTTTTTCATTTAGGTAAGACTTTATTTTATCTTACGATTTCATAATTTTAGTCAGCTATAAAAGAAAGACTTTCCTACTTACATTTCAAGTTGAAGGATGAGTAAAATATGTTAATAATTATTTCTGTAAACGTTGACTCCCTTATAAAAAAGCTCTTCACATTTTATAGAAGCACACTTTAAATGCAGCGTTTTAAACCCAACAGTTTGAAGTACACTTGTACTGTAAAGTTTGGTTTATAATGAATTTGATCTTTTATCTGATGCTATGCACAGCAAAATGAATACTTTTTTCTGGAACGGTTTCATCATTTTTACTTCCCGAGCGTAAGCAAAGGAAGTATTGTAATCGAGTCCGTCGGCCGACTCTCTACTTTTACGTTTTCTCGATCTTTCATGACCCCTAGAAGACGAAGAAATAGGTCTCCCATTTCCGTCGGTCTGTCCGTCTGTCCGTCTGTCCGTCTGTCCGTCCGTCTGTCCATCTGTCCGTCTGTTGTCCCGGATTTTTATTAGACAGATAATCTCCGAAAGTACTCGACCGATTGTTGTGAAATTTTGTACTTATATTAAGAATATCATGTAGATGGTAAAACGCTAACCAAAATTTGTCTAATCATCCCCACCACTAAAGCGATGACGTCACTTCAAAATTGTACATAGTAAATGGGTTTTCAATTGTATAAAATAACATAGTCCTACACATGTAGTTTACAACTCTGAATCGACTTTTCACCCGAAACGTCCAGATTTTTGGAAAAAAAATCAAAATTATAAAACAACATTTTGAAATTTAATTTTTAATCTGCTAACCAGAATGCTTTGAAATGTTGCAGATGTTTTAAGGCTATAAAGAGCATCATAAATCTTTAGTCAAAAAATATTTGCTTATCCCCTCCAAAAACTTGATGACGTCAGCTCAAAAGTTTGTGGAATAAATCATATCTAAAATGTACAAAATATGATGAGTCTGTACTTGTGATCTATCACTCCATTCATATTTTTTGGATTTGCATATACAGGGTGACTCAAAAAAATTAATGAATGCGTAAATATATTTTATTGATTTAATCAGGAACTACAAAACCGAATGCTCTGAAATCTTGCAGATGTTTTAAGGTCATAAAGAGCATAATAAATGTTTAGTCAAAATATATTTGCTTATCCCCTCCAAAAACTTGATGACGTCAGCTCGAAAGTTTGCCGAATAAATCATATCTAAAATGTACAAAATATGATGAGCCTGTACTTGTCATTTATCACTCCATTCATATTTTTTGGATTTGGATATACAGAGTGACTCAAAAAAATTAATGAATGCGTAAATATATTTTATTGATTTAATCAGGAACTACAAAACGGAATGCTCTGACATCTTGCAGATGTTTTAAGGTTATAAAGAGCATAATAAATGTTTAGTCAAAATATATTTGCTTATCCCCTCCAAAAACTTGATGACGTCAGCTCGAAAATTTGCCGAATAAATCATATCTAAAATGTACAAAATATGATCAGTCTGTACTTGTGATCTATCACTCCATTCATATTTTTTGGATTTGCATATACAGGGTGATTCAAGAAAATAAATGAAAGCGTAAATTTATTTTACTGATTTACTCAGGAACTACAAAACCGAATGCTTCGAAATCTTGAAGATATTTTAAAATTATCATAAGCATGGTAAATTTTTGATCAAAATGTATTTGGTCGTCCCCCCTAAAAAATTTATGACGTCACCCCAAAATTTTGCTGAAAAAATGCCATCTTCAATGTGTAAAGTATGATGAGTCCATACTTGTGATTTATCACTGCATTAAAATTTTTAATATTTGCTTATGCAGGGTGTCTGAAAAAAATTAATGACGGAGTGAATTGATTTTGCAAAACTGAATACTTAGAAATCTTGACGTTTTGAAGTTATTGTAAGCATGGTAATTGTTTAATCAAAATGTATCTCTTTATCAACCCCAAAATAAATTCATTACGTCTTCTCACAATTTTACTGAATAAAGTATATGATCTGACTACACTTGTAACTAATCATTGCATTCAAATTTTTTAACTTGCTTATACAGGGTGACTCAAAAAAAGAAATGAATCAGTCACTTTATTTTAGTGAATAAATCAAGAATTGCTAAACTGAATATTTTGAAATCTTGCAGATGGTTAAAATTGATTGTGAGCATGGTAAATTGTTAATGAAAATATATCTGTTTATTCCCCCGAAAAAATTCATGACGTCATCTACAATTTTTGCCAAAAAAGTTTAACTCAAAATGTGCAAAATATGATGAGTTTTAACATAAGCAACTGTGGCCTGTGGTTTAGTGGAGGTGGAGTGTGCAGTGCAATTAGAAGTTCCGGTAACAGATCCCGGCACTTCCAACTTTTTTCGCCCATCAAATCAAGAACAGCATTTCCGATTTTCGCAACAATAATGTTATAATATTTATTTATTTGTTATTGTGTGTTCGTGAATAAGCACCATAAATAGCAAATGTTGAAATTTTTTTTTGTGATCGGAAGAATATCTCTTAATCATTTTATATATTGTCAATACATGATTAACTTCGACTGTTAATGTTTATACATCGAGAGAAGCAGAGAAAAAGTACATATGCATTTGCTTCAGTTACGCCACTGACCGTGTCATTTCTTTATCGCACGTTGAGACATAGTTTATATAAACAAACTCCCAGCCATAGTAAAAAGCGGAAGTTGGAAACGACGAGCGGCGCGGGGGGAATCACTTGTTTGGGTGGCGAGACGAAACAGTTGCGATTGCGAAATGCGAAGCCAATTCGAAAAAAACTGTTGAAGAGTGAGTGTCATTGAGGATATATATCTCCAAATTTTAAAAATTGGACCAAGTTACAATAATTGTTGCCAGGTAAGTGCAGATATTTTGGATTTGCATATACGGGGTGATTCAAGAAAATAAATGAAAGCGTAAATTTATTTTACTGATTTACTCAGGAACTACAAAACCGAATGCTTCGAAATCTTGAAGATATTTTAAAATTATCATAAGCATGGTAAATTTTTGATCAAAACGTATTTGGTCGTCCCCCCTAAAAAATTTATGACGTCACCACAAAATTTTGCTGAATAAATCCTATCTAAAATGTACAAAATATGGTGAGTCTCTTCTTGTAATTTGTCATTGTAAATTTATTTTATTGATTTAATCAGGAACTACAAAACCGAATGCTTTGAAATCTTGCAGATGTTTTAAGGTTATAAAGAGCATAATAAATTTTTAGTCAAAATATATTTGGTTATCTTCTACAAAAAACTGATGACGTCAGCTCAAAAGTTTGCTGAATAAATCGTATCTAAAATGTACAAAATATGATGAGTCTGTACTTGTAATTTATCATTCCATTCATATTTTTTGATTTGCATATGCAGGGTGACTCAAAAAAATTAATGAAAGCGTGAATTTATTTTATCGATTTAATCAGGAATTACAAAACCGAATGCTTTGAAATCTTGGGAATATTTTAAAGTTATTATAAGCATGGTAAACTTTTGTTCAAAATGTATTTGTTCATCCCTCCTAAAAAAATTGATGACGTCACCCTTAAATTTTGCTGAATAAATCCTATCTAAAATGCAAAAAATATGATGAGTTTGTACTTGTGATTTATCATTCCATTCATATTTTTTAGATTTTCTTAAGAGGTGGTTCAAAAAAATTAATGAAGTCAATTTATTTTATTGATTAAATTAAAGGCAACACTTATTATTAGTATTACACCCCAACCAACCCAATTTGGTAGACAAAAAATTTGTTAAAGGAAAAACTCGGTTGAAACATAAGGGTAGCATGCTTATTTACATCGACTTTAACATTACAGACCTGCATTTGTTTTATGCGTTCACTTGGTTCCGCGAATGTGAAATAGACATGTTTATAATCAACCAATTGTGAATTTCACCGTCAAGAATTAAAATAAAACCCAATGTTTTATATAATAAGCGGAAGTCGAAGCAATAAAACCGATGGTCGTTTTGTTTACAGTTTCTCGGTTTGACTCTCAAGTATGCTGTTACGCCTGTCATCTTAAATTAAGAATGTTTATACATACACGATTTTCAGCTGCCTGGGATACGTATACGTGAGTAAATTGTTTCGTTATTTTATTGATTATTACAAATCAATATTCAAAACGAACCAATTCATTTTCCCGAAAATTTGAGAATATAATAATTTTATTCTTAGTATTACACTACATCTATCCCAAACTGATATACGTGTCCTTGCAAAAATGTTGATGACGTCATCGCAATTTTTTTTTAAATTCCCACTACAAAAATGTAATGAGAAAAAACACAATAGGCATGCAGTCGTCAAGTTTCCGACAGCGAGGGAAGTACTGTCTAAACTCTTTAGACCAATTTTTTTGGAATTTGAGACTTTCTGAAGACCCTTGGATCACTGTTTAGTCAGTGTATGCCCGCGTTTGTTTCCTAATAAGAGTCATAAAACATATTTTAAATACCTAACTTGACTCTGAGTAGGTAGTTACTATGAAAAAATATATTATGACTGTATGTATTTTATTCGGTGTTCGGGACCAGTCTGTCTGTTTGGTAAATCGTTCTAGATGTATCCGTTGCTACGTATAAATAAATAGTCTGTATAATACACACAACTTTACTTTACAACTTGTTAACTTGAACAAAAAAACACACGTTAAAATTTCAAGAAGCACATATTTTCCGTATTTATTCTTAGTACAGTAGCATAAGTCAATATCATTACCTAAATAGAGAAAAATATTTGCATGAGTGACATATTGAGTAATCTTTTGCAAGGACTAACGACATCGAAAGGTTACGCCACCGTCATTGATTTATTTTACAGATCAAACAACCTGGTTGCGAATTTATTGAAGTAGGTTTAAATGAAGCGTATACAACACATCTTGTTCGTAATTACCTGTCGCTCGGTGGTCGATTTACAAACAATATAGTGGGTGCGCGTGTTCGTGTGCGTTAATTTGATTACAGACATGGCAAATAACGGTAATTCTAAGGTATTGTTCGCGTTTACCCAGAATGGGTAAACATTAATAATTTAGTCTTTAATACATATTTTTGTAGTGTAAATCATGTCTGATTGCGGGCGAGGAGGTGGAAGAGAAAACATTATTTGGAGGAGGTGGTTGATATTGACGTCGATTTGGTCATGCTACAACTAATAATAAAACGTTGTCAACTAATATTCACAGTGAGAATTTTCATCAACAACTGATAAAGATCGGAAAGTGTATTTTTACATTTTAGAGACCTACATTTTTTTTTGTCGTTGTTATTAACTAAGTAGGAAATGGAGTTTGTTCGTTCATAATGTTGTTTCAATTATGAAAACAACATTTAATAACTTAGTGTCATTAATTTACATTATTTTTCTTTAACGCACAAGTTGTTGTGTCGGGGATATCAGTAATAAAGGAAACACCTACACTAATGGTTTCATAATTAAATTGTCTGGAATCTTTATACAACGAAAAAGCTCCAGAGTAATTGCTCTAATTAAATCTGTCGATGCCCAAACGAACTTCTTGTAAATGTTATCTTAATGTTTAATAATAGTCAATTAAACGGCGACTCCCCTATTAATTAAAATATCAACTGAATGATTTTAGTTGTAAATAGGCAAAAAATTCGAAATACGCTCAAACAGTTAACTTTTTAATTAAGACACAAAAAACACAATGTTTGCAATTTCAACTTATTGATCACTATACCTGCAGCTGCCGTATTACGCCCAACATTAAAACTTTTAATAAAGAATTTTATAATGGACCTGTAGATGAAAGTTTGTAGACAGTTTAGCAAAATTAGAACAAGCGTTGCATAGAATTATGTTGAAAATGTACATTCGGGGTGCTAAAATTATTTATTCTAAAAGTTAATGGTATTCATTACCCCACACTGTTTGACATTATTTTTGTACTTTTATCCGTAATTTGCAAACATCTTCAACTATCTCCTACTTTACAATAAAATGCAATTATTCAATTGATGGACATTCTGCCTATTATACAAGCCAGAGCCAGTTAATCAATTATGTTGTGTCCCAAGCATGACTTTACGTTCCAAATTCAATTTTATTAATGACATTTGTAGATCGTCTGTGGCCAATTTTAAAAGTCCTGCCCCACATACAATCTTACAATAAATGAATGCGATTTATTTACAAAGCTTCATCCCAATTTGTGGAAATTCATCATTAAGCTGTGAAACTTTAAACTGAAGAAAACTCACCTGTAGTTGGCGTTTTCACATCATTACTGCGTCATGATCCTGAAATAACAACATTGAACTGGAATTACAAAAGAAAACACTACAATAGGTAATAAGAAAAATTCAAAAGGTTTAGATTTTCGTTACGTAACCGACACAGCGCATTGCAGGATTATGATTAAGCAATGCGGAATACTAACTACGCTGAAGTTTTTTGCCATTGTGGCAATGTATGGACTGAATTAAGGAAATCATATTGAAACGGCTTTGTGCATTACGTTGATTACGTTATGTCATTATAATCACGTCAGATAGCGAATTCTTGAGAGAATGAGCTAATTCCTGTGTATGTATATTAAGTTGTCGGATTCCTGCTGCTTGGCGACAGTTCATGGAAAATACATTAAGGGAATTACAAAGTGAACGTTTTAATAATTGTTGTATGTACAAGGAACCATTCAACAACTAATTAGTTAATCAAATTTTTTAAAACTGTGACACATTCTTGTGTGGAAAATTCCAAACTATACCAAGCATGTTTGCAAAACGTTCCTAAATGCAACTCACATATTTCAAGCTCTTGAAATATGTAGTGACCAGACCGGAAGAGTGCAACATTTATGGGGCAGCCAGGGAATTAAAATTACACAGTCCATGCAACAACAACAACCGTAATTTTTATTATAACGTATGAAGTGCCGTATGTAAATTATGTTTAATAAATTCGCTACTGTTAACTCTAGACAACCAAAAAACTTATTTGCTGTTTAGACCTGTGACAATAAAATTTGTAAATGTTGAAAATACTTCGAAAGTATCTACCTTGTAAATTAAACCAATACTTTTTTGTGGGCCGAGGGTCTTCATACTAGACTTTGTCGGGAGATCAAGTACCTATTATCCACGATCCATAATATTAGCAATATGTATACAAATTTTAGTGTACGCGTCATATCCAGAGACGAGTAATAAATATTAATCGGCATTGTCATTCTACAACAAAATGAAAGCCATTCTTACTGTAAATTCATTTCCTTGACAAGAATTACTACTGATTTGTGAATGAAATGTGTTCTTCTACCACTAAGAAAGTTATTGCTGTGTGACTGCTTCAAAGTAGAGACTGTGAGATTCAGTTAGCCGAATAATATTTAGTACTACTGCCATCGTAACAGAAACCGAAAAATAAAAGCTCCAATATGGAGATTAATATTAATCGAATAAACACGTTATTATAATTGAATAATTGAAAAAGAATTAAAACAACGTAGACTGCAGAAAACTGTGAAATTAGGGTTCCGTGAATCAGCAGTAGAAATATTATAATATAAGTATTATTATAAGCTGAACATTCATACCACCTACGTCTAAAAGTTTGCTCGATGTTTTTCCATGAACTGATACTTGCGCGTTTTAAAGTTCTGTGATTTGCGTTTTAACCATTGTAACTTTTATGACATTTTGGAAAGTCAAATTTAATTTATACAGTTTAATGTTAATTTAACATGAATGTTATTAATATTATGTATGCCAATTTAACTTTTATATTATACACCTTACATCATACAGTTTCGTTTCGGGATGAAATTCTGTTTTGTAGTTTCAAAGTTAAATTGCAAATGTTATAACATTTTGATTTTTTTTTTAATTTCGATATCTAGGGTAGGAACTCAACACGAATTCATAAACTGTAAGTGTTACTTTATGAAATTTAAATTATATTTGCCATTGTAAAAGTTGGGAATGGCGTCATATCGTCACGTATAGGTATGCTGGTGGGGATGATCAGACAAATTTTTGTTAGCGTTTTACCATCTACACGATATTCGTAATATAATACGTACAAAATTTGACAACAATCGGTCCGGTAGTAGAAAGTCACTGGAAAATTGGTAAGACATCAGATAAAGAATTTTTCATTTTCCAGTCGTAAACAACAAATGATATAAATTTGGTTTATTTAGAAAAATACTGGTATATTTCTTTATATTTCCAGTAACTTCCGAATTATCATGAATACATTTGACATTGTCATTTTGGTTTTAAATGTATTTTATTGTTTAAATTATAAATTTCCTATTTAGAACTCCTAGATATTAAGATCCTCTAAAAGGCGACACCATATAAGTTGATGGGGGTACTAAACCCGCGAGCTAATGATCGATTGCTCAACGGAGCTCTTACATTAGTATAAAAAAATTGTAAACAATTTAAATAAAAATCAAGACAGATTAAGAAACCACAAATACAGGAGTATGTTATTCTATAAAACGTAAATAGTATTTACCATGCAAAATTATTGGTGAGGATGATCAGACAAATTTTGGTTACCATTTAACTAGCTACACGATGTTCCTAAAAATATATATATACAGGGTTATTCAGCGTAAATAACCAATTTAGTGTGTCAGGACTGCAACCCAAAATACATTAGTCGCTTACTCCTTGATTCAGTTCTTACAACATGCAGTTTGCAGTTCATCGATATTTTCAAAAGGGGTTTGATAAACTCTTTCTTTAATGGTTCCCCACAAAAAATAATCCAGGGAGTCAAGTCAGGGCTTCTGGCAGGCCAAGGATTAATGCGACAAAGGCAGGATCGGTAGCAAGTTGTTCTCTAACAAACTGGCAAAACTGCAATCTTCGAGCGTAATCAACCTCTCGTAGCCCGTCAACCATATGCACATCGTAGGGATGGAATTCGTATCTCTTTAAAATTCTACATACAGAAGCCTGACTTATCCCGACCTCTACTGCGATTGCCTTTTGACGAATGTGGGAATTATTTCTTATTTTGTTGTCAACACTTGCTACAGACCGAACACTTCGTCGTTTCCAGAGGGCCTAGTTTTGCCTTAAAACATTTTTCTAGCCTTTTAAAAATCTCCTCTATTGGAATTCTGCGTAAAGGGGAGAGTTGAGTATATAGCTTTCTTGCTGTTAACGTGTTTTTGCGACATTCTCCGTAAATTAATATCATAGCTGTTTCTTCATTATTAGTAAATGAAAATCTCGACAGATTTTAACCTTTCAAAGTAATGAAATTCTAATTGCCAAACACGGACAGCCATCAAGCAACGCCAGTTTGGATTCACGATGTTATTGAAAACGAAATATAATAAATATATAAATCAAGGAATAAATGAATACTGTATGTTGGACTACCTATTCGCTCATTTCTAATTCGTTATTTAAGCTGTATAGCCCTGTATATAAAATTTGGACAAACAGTCCAATAGTTTCGGAAATTATGTGTTTAATAAATATCAACACAGACGACAATCGACAGACAGACAGAAACAGGGGGCCTATTTTTACTTTCCGAGCGTAAGGTAAGGAAGTATAGTAATCGAGTTCATCAGAGGAATGGCCACTTTTATATTTTTTCGACGTTTCATGACTTCTAGAGTACGAAATAAATAGTCTCCCGTTTCCGTCTGTCTATATATCTGGTGTCTGTATCCATTTTTATTAGACACGTAATCTTCGAAACTGCTGGAACGTTTGTTGTCAAATTTTGTATATTAAAAATGTCATGTAGGAAAACGCCAGCCAAAATTTTGCTAATCATCCCCACCAACAAATTCAATCATTTCAAAGAATTCTATATCTATTTTTTATTTAACTATTACAAAACAATATAATGCTATAAGTGTGGTGTACGAATCGGCTTTGGGTATTTCCTTAAGCGTTCAAATATTTGCAAAAACATTATGTACGGTATAATAACAATTTACCATCGGCGTATGGCCCTCTATTATCTAGGTTTATGACGTCATAGCATTTTTTTTTTATGAAATTACTCTACTTTCTCGAAAAGGTGAGAATACGCCCCTATACATTTAAAAATGTAAAACCTTCTCAGGGGTCCTAATTGTTTTTTTAGAATGTAAAACCTTATCGGGAGTGCCAGATGTTTTTTTTTAGAATGTGAAACCGTCTCGGGAGCCCAAAATGTCTTTTTTTAAGAATGTGAAACGTACTCAGGGGTCCCAACTGTCTTTTTTAAAAATGGAAAACCTTCTCGGGGACGCCAAATGTTTTTTTTAATAATGTAAAACCTTGTCGAGGGTCCCAACTGTCTTATTTTAAGAATGTGAAACCTTCTCGGAAGCCCCAACAAAATGTCTTTTTTTAAGACTGTGAAACCTACTCAAGGATCCCAGCTGTCTGTTTTAAAAATGGAAAACAATCTCGGAGGCGCCAAACGTCCTTTTTAATAATGTAAAACCTTCTCAGGGGTCCCAACTGTCTTTTTTTAGAATGTGAAATCTCCTCGGGGGTCCCAACTGTCTTTTTTTAAGAAAGTGAAACCTTCTCGGGGGCCCCAAATGTCTTTTTTCTTAGGAATAGAAACCTTCTCGGGGATTCCAACAATCTTTTTAAAGAAGGCGAAACCTTCTCGGGAGACCCAAATGGATTTAATTTAGGAGTGTTAAATCTTGTCGGAACTCCCAATTGTCTTGTTTAAAATGTAAAGCCTTCTCAAGGATCCCAATTATTTTTTAGAATGTAAAACCTTCTCGAGGGTGTCAAATGGTTTTTTTTTTAGAATGTGAAACCTTCTTAGTGGTCCCAACTGTCTTTTTTAAAAATGTAAAACCTTCTCGGGGGCACCATTTTTCAATAATGTGAAACCTTCTCGAGGGTCCCAACTGTCTTATTTTTAAGAATGTGAAACCTTCTCGGGGATTCCAACTATCCTTTTTAAAGAAGGCGAAACCTTCTCGGGGGCCCCAAATGGATTTTTTTAGGAGTGTGAAACCTTGTCGGAACTCCTAATTGTCTTTTTTAAAAATGTAAAACCTCAGGGATCCCAATTATTTCTTAGAATGTTAAACCTTCTCGGGGGTGTCAAATGTTTTTTTTTAGAATGTGAAACCTTCTTGGGGTCCCAACTGTCTTTTTTAAAAATGTAAAACCTTCTCGGGGGTCCCACAGCTGTCTTTTCTAAAAATGTAAAACCTTCTCGGGGGCGCAAAATATATATTTTTTTGTAATGTGAAACCTTGTCGGGGGCCACAAATGTTTTTTTTTTTCTTAGGAATGTGAAACCTTCTCGAGGATTCCAACTGTCCTTTTTCCAAGAAGGCGAAAGCGAAACCTTCTCGGAGACCTAAGTTTTTTTTTTAAGGATATGAAATCTTCTAGGGGCTTCCAACTGTCTTTTTTAAGAAGGTGAAACCATCTTTTTTTTCTAGTACACTGTGACTAGTACCTTCAATATTGTTTTTATTTCATAGAGGTTATCACGAAAAAGTAAAATTCCGCAAAAATAAATTTTATAAATTTTCGGAGAAGCAGTATTTGTTGAACTGTACTTCAGAAGCGAGGGAAGTTCTCTTGAAATAACTTTCGACCAATTTTTTCATAGTGTATGGAGCATGGAACGTTTTTAAGTTGCGCTTTAGAAGGTTACTTAAGTTTGAAATGTTCTAAAAGAAACATACTTAATGACTTAGATAAGATAAAAATTAAATATTTTTGAAAACGGCTCGTTTTATTTGTTTAGGAAATTTTTTTAATTACCGAAACTATTAAAAATATTGTGGATTACATTAATCATTATCAAATAACGTACGTAAAGTTCTTTCATCAAAATATCATCAAAGTGAGAAGCAAAAACTCTTAAAAATGTACTCTTAAAACATAGGAATTTTGACAATGTTGTTGACAAATTAGTAAATCAAATTTTCCTTACTCCGAATAACCCGTTGCCAATTTACAAGAAAAAAAAATGAAAAAATTATAATTTGAAAAATGATTTGAAACTAAACTGAATATACGCAAATCATACGGTTAACCT